TGTTTTTTGTTTTCATAGTTTCATAGTTTCTAGGGTCGGAAGGGACCTGAGAAGATCATCTAGTCCAACCCCCTGCCATGGCAGGAAAGAGTACTGGGGTCAAACGACCCCAGCACGGTGTTCATCTAACCTCTTCTTAAAAACGCCCAGGGTAGGAGCCTGCACCACCTTCCTTGGAAGTTGGTGGTGTTTGTTTTTGTTTAATTTCTCCACTACACTGGCTTTGTTATAGGAAGGTTTCCTTCTTGATGACTTTCCAAATGGCCACCAATCCTATTCATAGGATTTCTATCACTTTTTACAGCCATGGTTATGTTTCTGCACAATGCTAATAAATCTGGAGCAACTAATGCACATGATAATGGAGGTTTCAACTACCAGATGCAAGGCAACTGCTATCAGTATCAGAGGTAATCTGCATTAATGTTTAGTGCCCGGCACTGCAAAGACATATATCTTAATTCCAACAGGACTTCTCATCATGTGCAAAGTTCGGCACATGCACATGTCTTTGAAGGATGAAAACTATATTTTTTTTCTTAACATCCTTCTAGTGCCAAAACAAGGGACCTGCCTTTATGTTTTTATGGTCATTTTAAAAGAAAAGAGAAAAAAACCTTCAGCCTGTTAAATCATTCAAACAACCACATCCATCCTTAACTGGATAACTTGTATAAAATTGTCAAGTTTTTATATTATATCTGAATATCATTTTACCAATGGCCATCTAGGTTTTCCAGTTCCATGATGCTTCACACCTTTTCACATTGTTTAATGGTAAGTTTTACTGCTTTTTAGTCCAGAAAACTATTTTATTAGCCATTTTGATAGAGCAAATTATTCTTGTTTTTAGGATTAGGAAAAGAGACCTGGTATGTGTGTATAAATTCATATTAATTTTAAATGCTATTACATTAATGTTATAATTAGAACTTTATATTAATTATACATCTTTATAATGTCACAATTAATTATTCAGTTTAAGTTAAATGATTTATTATAAAGCCAATCCTTTTATTTTGGGTTGTAGTATTCCTAGGATGTTACACTTCTTGCATTTTCACAAGTCAAAGCTTTATTGTGTATAACAATATTAGACATTTCCACGCCTCATGAATAATGTATGGCCTGGAGCACATAGGAATTGAAACTGTTACAACCAGCATAATGCAAACTTTAGCATCCTACGACCTCCCTGTTTTGGAAAGAACACAAAAATAGGAGAGGAAATGGAATATGAAGGTAAGTGTTCAGCATGCAGTCTGCTGGTTAAGCTCCTGCAGATTTATTGGCTGGTCAATGGCTAAACTAAAATGCTTAAAAAGCCCAAAATAAAAGTGGTCCTTAGACTGTCCCCTAGACTGTCCTTTAATATCCTTTCCTGCTCCGCTGCCCACAAAATGTTTGAGAAAAAGAGAGCCCAACAGCATTCCTCGAAACCACTGGTAAGAAACAACTGAAACACCCCAATGGATCATCTGCTTCTGGGACAGCCTGTCGTCTAGGTCAGACAGACATGGCGTTCCTACAACAGCAAGCCTCAATAAGACTGGGACAGCTCTACGGCCAGCTGGTGACCGAGCAAGGCCAAACAACTGGTACCTGTCGACTGACATTACAGGGTGAAGTGATGAGCTGTTCATAGCCAGCTGTTCATAGCCAGCAGTTGGTTTGAAAACAAGGGGGTAAAAGGGAGGAAACAGAGAGAGAGGGAACAGGAAGGGAGGGAAGAGACAGACAAATGTAGCTACAGCTGGGCATCAGCAGCCCTAATGCAAATCCTGAAAGACTAAAGAGCACACAAGAAAAAGGTGTTCTCTGCATTTTTCACTGCAGCTTTCCAATTTTGCAAACGCTTCCCAGAAGATGAGGCTATTCTGCAAGAGACCGACTAAAAAACAAAAAAACTTTAGCCTTAAAAGGCCCACTAAGCACCAACCAAAATCATGAGTTCTTCCAGGATGATCTCATTAAAGATTGTGACAAAAAAGTAAAGCTTCAATGCAATGTTATTTGTGAGGAGAAATAAGGATTGAGCTGAGGCTGGAGTGGGGATGATGGAATCAGAAATCATGTGTTAACCAAATGGTTCATGCTCAAAGCGTTGCTCTTCCAGGCAAGAGCCTGAGCTTGCTTTCCAGTCTTGCTCCTAGTGTGTACCAGCAGGGACTGAATAGCTAGAGGCACAACCACAAACCCCACGCACGGGAGCATCATGCTGCTGAGTGGACCCTTGGAGCCGATTCGGAGCTGCACTGAGAGGCGCCCTTTGGAGTCCTAAAGGGAAAAGAAAGTCCGTAGCTCCCGGCCCCAAGGACGTAACAGGCTGTAAACTGCAAAAAAGCAACAGACTTGTTTTGACATTTTTCCTCTTACTATTGTAAGAAATGAAAACATGCCTCCCTAATTCACTACTGCTCTACTTCACTTACCACGCCGAGATGAACAGGTGCTCCTGGATCAGGGATGGGAAGTTTATGAAGCACTTCTAGAAACTCATTCCTCTGACAGTCCTGAAACAAGAAAGATCAGCTTAACAAAGGAAAACCAAGCAATAAAATGACCTTGCAGTCCAGGCTGTAAGATGGAAAGGTCAGAGTTTGCAAGTGCTTTGGGGCTACAGTACTTGTACATACAAGGAACAGTTGCCAAAAATTATTTACATTTCAGACTGAAGAAACAACACCTTTCTCTATGCAAATATCCTTGTGATAGAAAATACTTTTTAGAACAAAATATATCTTCCCACATGTAGGTTTCTACATTTGCCTATGCTTCAAGAAACCTATTGGGGCACCATCCAATGCATTACATATGCTCCGAAACCAGGGAGGGCTAGCTTCCATAGCAACTGCTGCATAACAGTAATTACTTGCCTTGAGCTGGAGACATCATTATAAGAAAGCAAGTGTTCCCTCTCTTCAAATTTGTAAAAGTTTGATAAATGTAAGATATAACCATGACTGAGAAAAATGTAATAAAAGTCAGAGCAGTACCATAACTAGACTTATTATGGTTACACCGGCTCTATTTTATATACCTGAAATATGCTTTAGGGTAGGTGCTGCAATCAACCTACGGACCACTAAGTTCCAGCTTCTGTCCTAGAACTGAGCCTTAACATCTCGCTTCACATTTTTAACATGATATCAGTGAGGGAACTTGACTTTCATTTCACTTGCTTTAAATTCAGAAGCACCAGAATGAATCCTAAAAGCTTAAGGGGAAAAGAATGAGTGACACAGAAAAGACTTCTGCCTCAGACTTGGTTTTAAACTGGTATTCAGGCTACCACAAAAAAGTTTAGGGAAGAGATCTGTCCTACACTCACTGAAGTCTTTATATGCTCATGGAAACACAATTAGATTTTCTTCTCAAAGCTCTTTTGCATTAAAGTACCCAAATGGCACAAATTCACTCTATAGTGCTGCATAATACTTAGCCTCTGGGCATTCTCTGATGACAGTAATTCCCACATAGATAGTTTTTACCCTCTAGTATATTTGATCTTTGGAAAATGAAAGCGTTTAGAATAGTACCTGTCCTTTTGTTGTATAATCTGCCAAGACGTTGAGCAGCTTATAGAAGACTTCAAACCATGGGAGATAACTAAAACACAAAAATGGAAAAGAACCACTTGAAGATACTTGAAAATAAATATAATCATAGGCAGGCAGGTATGTCTGGAAGGATGAACCACCCTCCTGGCTCTCCCTCTCACCAGCGTGGCACTGCAGCACGGCTTAGCCAACGTGCCTCAGGGCTCCTTTCAAGGCAGAGCTCCCAACACCCACGCCCACTACCAGCCAACCATGTGGCACTGGAGAAAAGCAGGTGTAATCAGACAGATCCCTGCTGGAAGATCACAGAAAGTCATCCTCACTGTGAAGGCTACCAACCAGTGATCCCTATGGAAGATGTCACTGTCTAGATACTAGGTTACAATACTCTGAAATTGCTTATGAATTCATATCGGACAGATATTCATGTTGGATATTTTAGTCAATTTTATTCCCTGTAGACCATGCATCATTACTGGCCTTCAGTGTAGCTGCTGGGGCCTTAAAATAGGGAGGTTGCTCTATTACCAAATCCTGCCTTCAGCTTTTTTTAAGTTAGCAATAAGAGCTGCATATTTTTAAAAAATATTTTAAAAATGAATGGACAGAACTATGACCGTGATATCTTCTCCAGCATCCTGTATCACTCCATTTATGCAAGTTCCATTTAGACCAAGCAGCATTTCTTACTTAGAATGCAAATGCACCTAATTTATAACATAACTGGTAACAAAGCATCAACTTTGAAAGACATGAACATGATGAAAAATATGCAGCTTTTTCACTCAACATGTCTATCTAATAGTGCCATGCTTTCTAAGGGACTTTCCACAGCATGCAAACAAAGACAGACAGCTAAGGCACTAGTCCATGCTGTAAGATTCTTGGCTGGGATTTTGTACCATGCTTCTATTGCACAGTTTTTGTCTTAATTCATATTTTTCAATTACTGCAAGGAGTTTCTCCTCAGCTATAGTGAAAAGGCAAGCTAAGAGTATGAAGCATACAGTGATTATTCTTCTAAATCACAGAGACCTTGTGAAACAAATAAGAGTATATTTTTTGGTACAGCTGGACAAGATGTAAAAAGCTTTTACACAATATGCCTACACCCTTCCAACCATAAAGAAATCCGTGCCCCCACGATTACTAACTGTACAGCTTGTAGTAATAAATGAAGTGAGAGGCAATATACATGACAGATAAAGTGAACAGCATTCCACCACTAACATGTGTTTGAAGCCTGCAAATGCTACTGTAAAATTTAAGTAGCTTATCAAAATATACTGATAAGCAACTTAACTTTTCACTTTATATGACAGTATTATCACTTACGTTAATATGTTTCAAGCAACTTTAGGAACCGCATATTGAGTACAGCAAAGAGAAAGACAATTACCACTTTAAACAGCACTTAGCTTGGCATCATAATGTAAACATTCAAGAGGGATTAGACAGATGATAAGTTTCTCTCTTCCCGTTTAGTTAAATAAACCTCAGTAGAGTTAAAAGCCATTATAATAGTAACAAGAAAATCCTCTCGGAGCAAGATTCCTGCACAGAGATTAAGAATTTGGTAAACAAACCCACACTAGCATTGCAAGGCATTCATCAAAAGAAAGGCCGAGTAAAACAAGCTAACAATCTGAAAGAGGACCGATTTCAGGGAAAACGTACTGAATTAGACTTAAGCAGGCGGGCATCCTTAGCTGAAAAAAGCCATTTAAAAAAAATGTTTTTTAATAAGGAGAATGAGACTCTAGCGCATTAAGAATTTTACTTTTCTGTTTTAAACTTGTTAAATATATGACAGCACAAGAGATTTTAATGTCTAGTGCAGCTGCACCGCACCTTCATGCAAAGATCTGTATATAGGATGTGCCCAAACATCACTTTTCAGAATAAGCTATTTCATGGTTTAATTACCATCTGCGATGAGAAAGGCCTTTAGAAAAAGATCAGCCAATATTCTCGTCTAAGTCACTTTGCTCCAGAGTTCGGCTGGCTGTGACAGAACAGTTTCCCGGCACCTTTTTGCACTGACTGATGCGTATCTAATGATGGCAGTGTTGAAGCTTTGAAACCAAAGTCGGGTTGTATCCCTCTTCAAAGAGCCACTGTTTTCCCTTGTTGGGAGGCCAGGGTTCACAGCTGAACTTTATCTTGCTACAGAGCCAACAGAGTTTCCTGTATTGCTTCATTAGGCCAAGCATGCCAACTCTATAGGTTTTATTCAGTTGCCTGCAAGGACATTGGATCCAAATTCCAGTTCAACTCTGTCACTCAGCTGCTAGTAAATAGTTTTTCTGTATACAAAAAGTGCAGATAAATATTTATATTTACACATTTCTAAAACGCCTGAACTAGCGGTCGCTCGGCATACGGCTTGTGGAGGGGGAAGGCAGGCAGCCGGTTCTACCGCACTTGCTCGCTCCCTGCTCCCTCTTCTCTCAGGGTGGAAGTGGTTACGGTCCCAGCCTATCATTTCTCCTCCTTTTTTAACCTGTCTTCCCCACAAAATTCACAGCCCAACATTAACTCCTTGCTCATCTTATGGTTTTGAAGAAGATTGTTCCAGGTTGAAAGATGAGGACCTGTAGTTTGGGAGACCTGCTGAGGCTTTGTACTCTGAAGCTAGCATAAGACAACAGCAGACTGTCAGGTGCCACCGTGCCTAGGAAGGTAGGGGTGGCACATGCTCTTCTTGGAAAAAGGGCACAGCACAAGTTATCCTGAAATCAGGACAGCTGCCATTTGGCTGTGGCTCTCAACCTTGCTAGATGCGAGACCCCTTTTAAAAAATCCCAGTTCTTAGCCTTTACTAATTTTTTGATAACTGAAAAATAATAGAGCAATTCTTCTGCGGCAAAGAACTCAGGAAAACCAGAACAGGTCAGAACGCTTTTGACATTATGGATTCCGATTTGTAATCTCCGGGCTTATCTTGGGAATCATATATGGAGGTGTTAACACATCTACCAGTACCAATTTTATGTAGCACCTCACAGTGACCTTGAAAGGGCCTCAGGATGCCCTGGTTGAGAATCACTGGCCTAAATGATTCACGTATGGTTTTCTATAAGCTTTCCTATCAACCACACAAAGCAAGGCCCAGTGCTCAGTTTGCTAAGCTTTCACAAATGGACTCTGGACCCTCTAACCAAGCTTTATGTAACCACTGGGGAATCCCAGGAGCCCTGCATTGCCCCTCTGTTCTGGGTCTAAATGCAGAAGGCTTCCTGTCTTCAACAGTTATCCTGAGACAGTCCTGCTTATTTGTGCCACATGGAGCTATGGGGAAGCAGCTGTAATTTCAACAGGCTTCTATTTCCCTTATTTTGCTTTTAGAAATGAGAAAAGATGCTTGATTCAAGTTCAGATAACCAGGCTGGGAGGGTGGCCTGTTCATTTTAAAGGCTTAGAATTAGAGTAGGAAGTGGTGACATACTTTTCCTGAAACAGTATCAAAATGAATAAGAGCAATGGCCTACAACGGACAAATACAAAAACAAGAGGACCTTCCTTCAGCAAAGCATGGAGATGCAACAACACATGGATCAGCAGGGAGAGAAGGCACACAGAAGGGGCACACTTCTCTGACATTCAGACATCCACGGGCTCAAATATTGAATGCGATAAAGGTTGTCACAATTCAGTCTCTGCATTCTGTTAACTTCCTGACAGCCTCCCACTAAAACAAAAAGCCCTCACGTTCCCAGATCCTCTGCTTTGGAAAGAAGGGCATTTTTTTCTCAATACATGTTTAATTATTGTGACAGAGAAAAGACTAGGCCTCTCTCTCTCAAATTATTCCTGCAATTGAGGCAAACTATTTGCTTGGAAAGGACTGAACCCCTTTTGTTATCACTCTGGAATGTATTTGCTGGTAGCAATGCCTTTAAGTGTAATGACACCTCCACAGTGCAACTCTCCAGCATTTTCTGTGCAACCCCTGACCTTATCTTTCAGCAATTTACCAAATGCCACCTACAAAGTAAATTTTACAGAACTGAGTGCTCTTTCCCATTCATAAAGTTTAAGCCCATATTTAAAAACCACTGCAGTCCAGTGCAATGCATGTTCATGCTGCTTAATTTTTTTTAATCAATGTATCTGCCAGTCTTTTGTGCTAAACCATTTGAACAACAGCACAACACAGCATCTCTCAGGACTTTATACGACCGTACCTACCATAGTACCAAAGCACCTTACAATTGTAACATTCACCCTTATAATAGCACGGCTAAATCAGAAAGCAGTATGTTATCGAGAGGTCTGTGGCTAAGCATGGACTTGGGCCCAAGACTCTGGAGTCTCAGATTAACACCCAACCCAATGAACCATACGCCTCACTGTAAAGAGTGAAAAGGAACATCTGGAACTACCCAAGGGAGTTGGGATCAGGCACTCACGAAGTGGCATGTTTAGGAAGCTGTCTTCCTCTTTCCATTTCTTTCCGCTGTTTTATTTAGACATCTGCAAAGTTTGTTACATATTCTTCAGTTTTTACGCCTCTATTTATGCCCTGCCTATAACTTCAGGCCTTCAGGACAAACTGTATAGCTCAACTCCTGGGTGCTTGAAGGGTAAAGGACCAAGGATATGGGTTATGGATTGTTTGTATGCTGTGATGAGCAAATCTGGCAAGTGTCAGAAATTCAAGACACACAGCGAAATGAATATGCTACAAGCATACTGTGTGTGTGGAAAAACAACATTTTTTCTTCTTACCCCAGTAGTGTTAAATTTAATTTTTACCTCTGCCAACAACCCCAAAACCCGCAACGGCATGAGTTTTGAGATGTGACAGGAACCCCCTGCCTTGGTGATTCAGATTCAAAGTCCAGATTCTAATGACCCTTCAACAGTACAAATGCGAGCTTTATTTCATAACAGATATGGGACTGGTGGGTGGGTGCATGTTCAACCTTCCAATAGGTTTCATGAATGAAGTTTGCTTGTAGGGTCACATTTAGTAACGAACAAGTTATTACTTGTATTCTAGTAGCCCATGGATATTTTTAGGATTTGTGACCTGTTTTACTTTTG